TACCAAACGTCATACCCAGAGGAAGACCGTGAACCTACTGTAGGGGCCTTAACGATTGGAATAGGGTTTTGGGGCCCATTATACTATACTTATAATAAGGAACCCCCCAAAATAGTCTATGTATTTATTTCGGCCCCTACATCAAACCCTAAAACCCCCAAACTCTGCAACCCGACCTCGTTTACTTAAATCCCAAGACCCGAACCCGAAAACCCCAAATAAACCCTAGAATTCCTAGAAGCTCCAAGAACAACGACGCAGAACACTGCCCCTCCACGAATCGGGGTTGAGGATTTACGGTTTAGGGGTTCGGGAGGTGGCTTGGGAATGCCTCCGGGCACCTACGGCAGCATACCGAAGTAGTTGCCACTGACGCGTCTTGCCTGATCGAGGCTGGCGTCGTGAGAGAGTCTACGTCTAGGCTTGGGTACCGTTGGGTGCTGCCTGAACCTCGTAAAATGGGTTACTCACGCTCGAGGCGTTGTCAGAGCGGTCTCGTCTTCGCGATTCGGGCTTGTCAGCTACCTCGAAATCACGAAGAAATACATCATCACTCGGCTACCTCTAGTCTAGATGCCCCTATCGTCTCAGCCTCACAGCTATTGCCACGGCCCAGTCCGGAACAACCGGAACACCAACGCCCCTAACACTTGAGAATAGACTTGCCGAACGAAAGATCTGAGAGGGAACTAGCGACAAACCAACCCACATCCTTGATTGTCCCTGAATACCCCATGCTCAAAAAAAAACCCTACACCCGAAGACCGTGACCAACCACGAGCCAATCCTAAACCAATCCTACAGCCTCAGCTTACACAGAGCCTGAACCAGCCTAAGCCCATAGCTTAACTCCAGGCCCGAGTAGACGGCCCTTTATGATGAGGCTAGGGTTCTGGAGGTTTGATGTGACACCTTTATTGAGGAACCGTAACAAGGAGTCGTAAGCGTCGTAACCTCTATGTTACCTCCCAGGCACGCGAGCCGCACAGATGTGATCGCGGGTGAACTGAACCGCCTGAAATGGGAGCGCTTCTGAACACATGGGTTTCCCGGGCATACCCTTAAGGATACCCTTTTTCCCACGAGTGCGGTTTCAACTGCTTCTTTGAAAGGAGGCCCCAATAAGGATCCTGCGATGGAGGCTTATAAAAATTCCCGAAAACACTGGAACCCTACAACAACAATCCTTGAAAGCCCATGCCATCTTGCATGCCTCGGCCAGATCTCCTCGTAGCTCGTGGGCCGCTGCCACCTCCTCGAAACCGTGGGGCAGGCGACAGGAGAGCCTGCGGGGAAGGGTTTCGGGTTTTTGGGGCTTGGGGTTAAGGGGGTGGGGCTCCGGTTGATCTGGGCTTAGGGTAGGGTGTAAGGCTGAGGGCTTAGGGTTTGGGTTTAGGGTTTGGGGTTTAGGGTTCAGGGACTGTCTATTGAGGGAGCGGGTTTGGGGTTTAGGGCTTCAGGGTGTTCGGGCTTGGGGGTTGTAGGGTTGAGGCGTTCAAGAACTTGCGGCTGATCAAAATTCGGGCTCCAGGTTTAGGGGTTTAGGGTTTAGGGTTAAAGTTTAGAGCTAATGGCTGTAGGTTGATGTTGGATCCGAAGTGGCTGTCCTGATGTAGGCCACCCTACACCAGGATCGCTTTAAGGGTCACAAGACATACACTTCCACTAGAAACCCAGCACGCCTGACACACAAGTCACCAACGGACATCCTGAATCCGGAATGCCAAATGCCAAACACCCGAAATGAATCAAGCATCACTTCCATGGCTCTGGATGTATTCAATGATCACTGAGAAGTGGGCTCCCTTCTTTGGGGCGTGGGGGTGTTGGCAAACCCTACACCCCAAACTCTAAACTCGACACCCCGGATGGACAGACCGCGGCGCAATCCTGGAAGCCAGGGCGACCGCAACGATGCAGATTGGAAAGCGGCGGAGACGGCCTGGGAGTTTGTACAAAAGGCTTCAAACGTCTTGCTGCTTGTTTGTCGTTGCGACCAGCACTACCTTTATTAACAGCACATCACTCTGCAAGCTTGTGCAGTCAACCCGAAAAACCTATGCATACCTGCATCCCGAGACTGAACTCTCAAACCCACGTCACGAGCAATCCCTTCTGAAGATGCGGAGGTTCCAGCAACATGGCACCGGACTACAAAGCCGGATGCTTGCCAGAAGGATCCAACCCAACCCCCTGAACTCGAAACTCTCAACCCCCTCCCCCTTGCAGCTGAAAGACCTTCTGGCATGACTGCTGCCCTCATGGGCGCGAAGAGAGCCTCTTTGCGCGGTCTTGGGATGGGGACTACTGAATGTCTTCTGGGCTTGGGGCTTTAGGGGTTCATTGGCAATGTCGACTCGGAGACCTCGATGCATCAAACTGTACTTCGCCTCGCACCGTCAAGGCTAATGCCCTAAACCTCTGGTCCCAGCAAAAGATGCCCCCTCTACCCTAAACCCTAAACCATAAACCCCAAGCCTATCAGGGCACACCATCCCGAGTAGTAGCTGCAGGTGGGAGTCACGGAAGCCAGCGGATCCTCCAAAGATTCCTCTAAAGGATTCCTTGAAGGGGTACTATTCGCTTCTATAAAAAAGGGTCCCCTTGCAGGGGTCATATCGGGTGCAAGAATCAGGATTCCTTTATGGTTTCCTACAAAGGCTTAGTAAACCGACCCGACGGGTTCCTCTGTACTGTGACCTCTGATTTTGGGGGCCCCAGGGGTCTAGCAGAAGCCCGATTTCGGCTGAGGACTCTCGATGTCCAAGACAGGGTTTAGGGTTTCGGGTTTAGACTTGTCTCCGACCTCCAGGTCAGAGAGACCCCCTAGACCCCAAAGCCCTAGACCTCGAATCCAAAACCAAAAGCTCCCGGACCCCGACCCCAAGAACTTTAGACTCGGATCGTGCCACGAAGCGACCCCAAAAAACACTTCATGTTTCTGTCCTTTCTCAAACTTCGATGCTGAGGTCCCTGCTTCGAATGAAGCTCATAAAAGGATACCAAGATCATATACTACGATATGCGCTCATGTACTATTATATACTCTTATATACTTTGACTAAAAAACTGTTATATACGATTATATCCCATTATATGTACTATTATATATTATTACAAGATGAACAGTTACAATTTTTGTGCTCAAGTCAACCAGCTTCCTGACCCCGACTGACCTGGGATATCTCCATTGCGGCATCATCAGGCGCAGCTGAAATGCGCCGAAGCTGTCGCTTGGCTGGCTTCTAGACGTCTCTGAAAAGTCAAATTATCTTTGAGGAGATTAGTGCCTAGGAGGCGCGCTGCACCCCAAACCCTTAACGCCGAGAGGCGAAGTTCTTGGTTGGCGGGGGCTACGGTAGGGTTTAGTGGTTTAGGGCTTCGGAAACTAACACGCAGGAGATTTGGATCGCGACTATGACGATGTCCAAACATAATCACCCGACCTTCAACTTATGTTCAGAACTGTTGGGTCCGCATCAAGCTGTCACAGCTGCATTGCATCAGCACCATGATGAGCCAAGGGGGGTGGTTGTCGCAGTGGCAGGACTTGGGCTTGCGGCAGGGGCCCGGACATAGAAGACTAGAGTGCACCGTGTAAACCTCAACAGGCCGTGTGAAGAGCTCTAATACAACATACACCAAACCCCTTGTCTGATGAAGCTTGCTAGACCCTATACCCTAAACTCCTCAAATGACAAACAAGTCTCAACTCTAAATCCCCGACATTCCGCTCGAAGCAGCCAGCTACGGCCATCAAAGACTAGAGCTTGGAAAGACTACAGGAACAAGGAGTATGCAAATAGAAGCATGCCTCTATGTCTGCCCAGAAGGGCGTTAAGGGTCATAATCAGACAGGAGGGAAGAATTCAAACACCTGAAGGCCGTGTATCAAATCATCCCCATGCCCTTACAGGGCGTAAGGCTTTTGGGGGGGAGGGGGCAGCTTGGGGTTTTACTTAAGCCCTCTTCTTTCTGCCTGCGTCCGCAGAAATCTGTGGCACAGGATGGTGAAACCAGAGAGAACCCTACAAGCTGGCATGGAAGGCGCCTCACGGAGCTTTGCAGAGATCTATGCATGGCTTCTGGGACCTCAGGGGTTTTAGGGTTTGGGGTTTAGGGTTTAGGGTTTCAGGGGCCACCGATCCAACAGCTGGATCATAGCAATGGAGCCCTCAGAACCCCTAAAGCCCTAAATGCCGGTATATTACAGTTCCCTGAACCACCGACCCCTACACAGTGAACCCAAACCGCTCAAAACCCAAAAAAACCTACGACCCCATTGCCTGCTGATGAGACGGACAGGAGAGCCTCCCACGCAGCAGCAGCTGTGAAACACGTCAGGCCATGAGGCACTGCACATGCACTTCGCGGTCCCTAGAAGCCGGGGTTAAGATTAAGCGTAAAGGGTTAGGATTAGGGTAAAAGGTTAGGAGAGTTAGGGGTCAAGGGTTTAGGGCTTGAGATGCTGCTGCTTGTCTTTTGGGAGGGGTTCCGGCTGCCTACCGATCAGAAGGTGATAAAACCAGGCTAGTTGTAGGGCTTCGGAACTGGGATTCGGAGCGTGGCATTTGTGCTGTCTAGGTTTAGCCAGAGAACGGAACCATCAAAACATCAAACCTGAAACCCCAAACTTCAACCCCCTATACCCCAAAAACCCTCAGTCTCACGCCCTGGCCCTCAACTGTAAAACACCCAAGCTGGGGGCTTCCAAGCCGAAGTTGCTAGACTTAGTGGATTCGTTGAAGCGCCCGAAACAGTCCTGAGACCCGTTTCATGCTGGTTTTCAAAGGGGGGCCAAAGGCTCGAGAACAAGAGGCTGGTGCTTCCAGCAAACCACAACTACAATATATGCCTTGTGCTGCTCTTGTTTGGCATCTTTTCCTTTTGGCTATGCGACTCCTGAAGCCTCTCCTTGAACCCTCCTAGACCCTAAACCCCAAACCCTGAACCCTACACTGGCACCTCCCCCAGTTTTGGGGGTGGAGCCTTTTCGATCTCTACCGGCTGGGTGTTTGGATTGACATCTGCGGCCGTTCACGAGCCGCTGCCGTTTCCAACACAGCAGGGCCAAGTATCCTGTCCGAGGCGGTCGTGTAGCGCGCTTCAGGGCTTTGGGATCAACGTAGTTGCTACAAAACTCAACCCCCCCGTACATCAACAATTCCTCGACTCTGCAATCTCTCGGCCAAAATTCTCCCTCTAAATTAGGCCGCGCTTTTCAGAAGGACCCCAGGTTACAGAACAAGTCCATACTGTCGGAGCCCAGGATTTTCGGGAGGCCTTGCTATCACGAAGGTAACGCTCAGGTGTTGAACCTAACTGCTCTACACCCTTAACCCACCACCCTAAACCCCAAACCCTAAACCCAACACCCTAAACCCACCACCCTAAACTCTAAACCCTAAATCCTAAACCCTAAACCCAACACCCGAAACCCTCAACCGAATCCTAGATGGAATGGCCCGTATCAAGCGGCGGCCTAAGGTTGCCATCCTCGTCGGTCACGCCAAACCTGCGCAGGACCTTGGAAGAGATCTTGAGGCTTCAGGATTTAGGGTTTGGGGTTTGGGGCCGTCGTATCATATCGCTGTTTGTTTAGGGGGGGGGGGGGGGGGGGGGTGTTGTCGGATGCTCTGATTTTCTAGGGCTTGGGGTGTGTAGGGCTTGCAGGGCTTAGAGTTTAGAGCTTAGGCCTTGTCGTTGAGGGTAGGGCTTAGAGGGGCTCCATAGCTTCGTGTTTTGTTTGGGTTAGGCTCAATTCTTTCAGGCGGTCCAGACGAAATTCATGATACAGTCGCAGTCTCGAGTACTTCCGTCGATGGTGCGTGGTTGTAGGAGGGTCATGACCACCGCACCTTTCCCGAGCCCCTGGTTTTCAAACTTATTGGCTAGGCTCCTTATGCTGATTTCTTCATGTCACTACCCTAAACCTTAAACCCTAGCCCCCAAACCCACTCAAAGAGGTACTCTCCCGGGCGAAAGGTAAACCCCACGCTCTGCGAGGCCCCCCCCCCCGTCTGACCAAGGCAACTCTTTGCATGGGAGAGGCCGTCACGATCTCGTGATCCACGATGTCGAGACCCAGGCTCAAGGCTAACCTTGTTTAGGTCTTAGGGTTGAGGGCTTAGGGTTTGGGGTCTTAGGGTTTTGGGCTTGGCGTCTATGGTCTCGGGGTTAAGGTTTTAGGGTTACGTGTCTAGGGAATTGGGGTTTGAGGGTTTAGGTTTAGCGGCGGTTGTGGGCTTGAGGGCTTGGGGCTTACTTTAGCCTCTGCCTTCGAATGGTTGCTGGGATGCTTCCTCCAGGAGTTCTGCAGGTGATCATTTTGCATGCTCTTTTCGGCCTGGCCGAAACACGGATGGGATCGAACCGCATCCTCCCAAGACACAAACAAAGCAGTGCATGCACAACATGTGCACACATGCATGCATGCCATACTCGACAGCATGCAACAAGCGAAACTTGCGTGATACCTACAACAGCAGCCGGTGAACAAAAAAAACAAAGCATCAACAGACTAGTACGCACGAAGCTGTGTTGATGGAATGTAGTCGATCAACGGCCTGACACCAAAGCCTCTCAACTAAGACGAGCTGCTCTTTCAGCCGATCCGGATCAACGCCGTCCTTTTCGAGTTGCAGGGCTGAGAGTTGCAGCGTTCCGATTGCTTTCCACGGTGATGTGAACAACCCGGATCCCGACCGGCAACCCACACAACAGGTACCTCGAGATCTGCCCGATCTCGGATTCGGGATCCAATCCTAAACCCTACACCCTTAGGGTTTAGGGTTTAGGGTTTTTAGATCTTGAACCTCCGAGATCCGAAACACCAAAAGAAGGCCCCGGCTGGATCTTCCATCTCTGGCTCGCCCTTCAGCGCGGCCAACTTCTTCGCGCCTTTAGCTGCAGCTGCCGGCTCGAGCTTGCGTATCAGAAGCTCAAGCAAGAGGGCAAGCTGGGCGAGTACGCAACCGTTTTGGGGTTTGGATGTTCAGTCTTGCGAATTGTAGTCGTAGGGCTTCGGGCCTTCAATCCTGAATTCCAAGAGCCTCTTTAGAACCTGTCCCCTTACCTAGTCCAACCCCGTTCGGGTGTGTTTGGGCTTGCACGTGGGAGTACAGCTTGTCCCACCTTGGTAGTCAGCGGTTGAAGGGCAACATCATCGGACGGCCAGCTTTAAAGCCAGATGCCGCACGCACTTCTCTTCAATTCTACAGCGATGCATAAAGAAACGTGAGACCCGGAACTGATTCAAAAGCAAGTTTGACCCAACCCCAAGCCCGAAACATCACGGGCTTTGCATTTAGGGCTTCGGGGTTTGAGGCTGAGGGCTTGGGGTTGTGGGGTTGGAGTTTGGGGCTTACAAGCCTGGGGCCCGAATCGGACGACTGAGGCCGGCGCAGGCAATTGGGTCCGCCTCGGTTTTAGGTTTTAGGGTTTAGGGTTTACGTTTTAGGGCTTAGGGTTTAAGGTTTAGGGTTTAGGATGTCGGGAGCAGGAGCAGAAACTTCCCCCTACAACCTCGCAACTACTCTGCTATTAGCGCGGAACCACCGGGATCACTAAATCTTAAACCCTAACCCATAGATCCTAAACCCTAGACCCAAACCCCCAAACCTGAGGCCCCAACCACTAGATCGAATTCCCGAACCCTGAAAGAGCAACACACTTACCAACCAGATGCATGCACGGATGAAACGTGGAGAGGTTTCGGAGGCGTTGCACAACACACTCAAAGTACAGCCCATCTCCAAGCCGAAACAAGAAGCCTAGGTTTCGCACTAAAGCTGGGGGTATACCTCGCTGCGGTGACAAAACGTGAGGTCTACAGACACAGGAATGCTGGGCTTAGATCTGCGGCACTTCGAGGTTTACAAGCTTCGGGTTCATGGTGCCGGACTTAGGGTGTAGACAATTCCGGAACAACGCGAAAGTCTTGTCGGTGTGGGAGCAGGGCATTTCGGGATGAGAACAGAAACGCATTGATCATCTAGACCAACATGGCGAGAAGAAGACTGACCTAGTTGGCATTCTCGATACACTAGCAAGAGTGTTGCTGTCGTCGTATGATGCCTACAAAGCGCGCGAGACACTGCCCATGACCTTGTGACTGCCCATGGACCTTGTGACGGTGCAGCAGATGATGGCCAACATCGTGATCGCCCTTCAATAACGCCACCACCACGATAAGCATCATCATCTTTCGCATGACCACCATGAAGAACACTACCACAAAGTGATGGTAACCGTACTACAAGCCGCAGTCGGGGTAATCAAGCAAAACCTATACAACTGCTGATACACACAGCCAAGCAACAGTAGTACGTGATAACCGGCAATACCGAAGAACGCTCACAAATGATGAGCCACTGTCTGCAGTCATCCCGTACTGTGCAGCTGAGCAACGTAAGGAAATTGCTTCGGTCGCGCCTGAGGTATTTGGCACCGAAGACTATTAGTATTGCTGGTACCGTTTGTTCAGGCCCCTACATTATCTGGTAAGTTTGCGACGATGAACACAGTGCCCCAGACCCCAATAGGAGGATCTAGGGATGTAGGACTTGTAGTTTAAGGCTTCGGGTTATGGGTGCCGGTTAGTGCTTATGGTTGAATTGCAGCGGCTCCACATTGCCGCAAGTTTACTCTCCTCCCCCAACCTCTGAGGCCTAGTCACGCCGTTACATCCAAAAAACACATCCCCAGTGTCTTTATGAGAAGAGCTCTGAACTTGTGCAAGACGGTCAAAAAAAGAGCTTAGGATTTCGAGGCCAGGGCATCACTGTCTCGAGGTTGGGGATCATGCGTCCGCTTCATGGTTCAGGGTAGAGAGGGCTTCGGGTTTTTGGGGTAAGGGGTTGATCCATGCCTCCAGAAACTGTAGGCAGCGTTCGTCGGCACGGGTGATGTACAGCGGCTGCCCCGCCATCGTCACCGTGGTCCCTCACGCTCGGAGGTGTAGGGGTCCAGGGCGTTACCAACCACCAACATATCCAGTTCAAGCCAGGAAGCCTCACACCCTATGAGCAGCTACGACCTACGATTGACCCCGACGTTCCCCCTCCCTGGAAAAAAATGTATAGGCTCTGGTTGGCTTTAAAAGGAGTCGGACAAGGACTCGATACCACGATGAAGTCTGGGCGGAAGGCATGTGAAGAATATTGGAGAACCGATTAATTGAAGATCCTCATGCAATCTTATGCTTCACGGCTCAAGAGTCGTAGGGCTTCAGGTTTCCGGGTTGCTGCCTGATGCTTTCGATTGTCAGGGCTTTGAGGAGCTGGCTTCGGGCAGTCCACAACCTCCTGCAATCCCCATAGCTACAGTTCCTCTGCTGATGTAAAATGGTTGGTTCGCTTCAACATGCGGTTTTGGGTAGGTCATGCAGTAGGGTTCAGGGTCTGCAGGTCCAGGGCTTCGTTTAGGGTTATTTTAAGTCCACAGGGCTTAGGGCTTAGGGATTTCAGTTTGGGGGCCCGTCCACGGCACCTACACGAAGGTCGGAGAGCTTGAAGCGCTGGCCGGTGGCAGGGTTTATCATACCTGGGCGCTTTGGAGGCGTCGTAAGAGAGGGGGCTGAGGGCTTCCGGCTTCTTAGGTTTAGTGCTTCGAGTTGAACGGCCCTCTTTGTTGGCTCTAGGGTTTTGTTGGGGTCTATAAAGCTCTATGGAGGATCTCGGGGCTTTTTGGTCTTGGATTGAGATTTGTGGCTTAAGTCTAGGGCCTCCAGAACCCAAAAGGCCCAGATCCCCCCGATCCTGGAGGGGAACGTGCATTCCGGGGGTCGGATTCTTCAAACCCTTCAAAGTTTCTGCCTCAATCCTTACAAGATTCTCCCAGCTTGTCAAACCCACTGAGACACTGTTAACTGCCCTTGAGACCCAATAGAAACCACATAAAAGCCTCACAAAGCGGGCTTCGCCAAGCCAAGGGGCGACGCTTGTCGGCGAACCTTAGAACGCACTTCAGATCCTCAATCGGGGGCCCGTGATCAGCAGAAAAATAGATGTATGGTATACGCTTACAGGAAAGTATTCGGTGTAAGACTAAGGCCCTGAACCCTACTCGTCCACTTTATCCAGCCCTAAACCCACGAAGGACCTCGGAATCCAGACACCCACACCTTTGAAACGTGTATACCAAACCTTGACCCTTTGGATTGAAAGCCCACACCGCCTAAGCATCTTGTACTTGCTGGTCGAGCCGCTTGCCTGTCCAATGCCCACCTGGGCTGAAGCAGGAGTCTGGCTGAGGGCTTAGCGTGTCGGGTTTAGGGTTTGGGATTTGGGGTTTAGGACCTAGGAACTAAAGAGCTTTGCAAGCCTGTGCCGTGTGTACAGCAGGCTAGGCTTGCCTACTCTTGCACACTGCGCTCTATCCGTTTCTCGCCCTCTTCGGGCTCCAAGCTTGGGGTTTAGAGATGTGGGTTTAGGGTTTAGGGTTTGCGGCCTAGGGGCTATATGATTTCATAGGCCTCGAGCGGATAGGACAGCAAGATGGGAAACCCATCCGCAAACCCTTAACCTTGCAAGTCCTTAACCCTGAAAGATCTAAACTACCACGAAAGAGGTTTGAATGCTCCCAGGAGGAGCCAAAGAGGATGCCGATCCCTTGCAGACCGAGCTGCTGTTTCGAACAGGAACCTCGAACACGGCTACCTGCCCAGGTTCACGCACGGTTCTTGCAAGGGGAAGCTTCCTTGAGGCCCTGAACCCCGACAAAAGAACACGTAGAACCCGCAAGCTCGGTGCTTGCAAACCGTGAGTAGACCTCCTCGTGTAGGCAAAAAAGCCTACAACCCCCTTGCAAGTCGGTCACAAAGCCTGTAAACCAGTGAGGAGCTTAATTCTTCGGCTCTGTAGCCGCTTGAACTATGCTCCTGAATAAGATCCTGGCTTTCCCCTGAACCCTAAACCCTAAACCCTAAACCCTAAACCCTGTACCCTAAACCCTAAACCGTGGATCCATGCATCTCCGACCCCTAAGTCCCAAGGTCTGAGCCCAAGGAACCTCAAGCCTAGCAGACACGAAAAAGGGTTTAGGGTTTAGGGTTTAGGGTTTAGGAGGAAACCCCAACACCCTAACCAGAATCCCAAGGCAAAGCTAGGCCTCAACGGCCACTTGACACTCAAATTTCCTGGCATAGAAGACCCGCAAAACCACCCCAAAGCATATTACTTTGGATTTCCAGGCTTGCCCAAGCCGATCATCTGCTCTCTGTCTCCGGTTCCTCGATTCCGCATGAAGACTTACGTCTAAGCCCTTTGTCAGTGCGCTGCGGCTCTTGAAGCTAAAGTCTCCTTGCTCTAGAGTCTAGAGTGGAAAAGCTGGGCCTTGGCCTTGGGGTTTGGGGTTTTGGGGTTTTGGGTTTAGGGTTTTGGGGGTTAGGGTTTAGGGGTTTAGGGTTTTGGGGTTTAGGGGTTTAGGGTTTAGGGTTAGGGGTGAGGGGAAGCTTAGGGTTTTTTCAAGGTTTCGGGCTGCTGGCGTGTTTCGGTCTTCGAGTTTTCCGGGTTTAGGATGGAAGCTTGCATCTGAATCACAGAATCCTGCTGACAACGGGGATGAATGTAGGGGCCTTAACAATTTGAATATGGTTTCAGGAGCTCCTTATTATATTTATAGTACAATATACCGCCAAACCTTATTCTAATTGTTACAAATCAGTAAGGCCCCTATATCAGGCAAAGCATGGGTTAAGGCATGGAAGCCCAATTTGCCTCGTCATCGTGCGGGTAGAAGGCGATAACCTCAGTACGAATGGGTTTGATCCGGATTGTCATTGTGCACGCCGGGCCTCCTCCTGGCATAGCCGGTTTCGAGTGGGAGTTTGTGGAAAACCCTAAACCCTCAACCCTCAACCCTAAACCCTAAACCCTCATCCCTAAACCCTAAACCCTAAACCCTAAACCCTAAACCCTAAACCCTAAGTGGGACTTTTTGGAAAAGGCTTGTGCATCGAGCTTGGAGTCGGCCGTAGCTGGGGTCCGCGGCTCAGACTTCTGCTCGGTTGCAAGGCCGATGGCTTGCGACGTAAGTGATGACACCTGCTCTCGAACTCAATGTTTAGGGTTGAGGGTTTAGGGTTTGGGGTTTAGGGGTGAGGGTTTGGGGTTTAGGGTTGAGGGATTTTAGGGTTTCGGGTTGAGGGATTTTAGGGTTTCGGGTTTAGGGTTTAGGGTTTAGGGGCTTTCCCACCCTCAAAACCCTGAAACTCTGCGCCCTCAACAACCCCAAACCCTCAAACCCTGAGCCACACAAAGAGATCCGGGTACCAGACCAGCAAACGCATCTCATCCTCCACCTCGCGTGCAGTGTGGCGTCGGGCATGTTGGGATGGGTGTTCGGCTTGGGGGCTTCTGGGCCTCAGGAGTTAGGGTGTTGGGTTTAGGCACAAAGGTTTTGGGGCTTAGGAAGGCTGGGGCGTTCTCAAGATTTGTCTGAGCTCCCCGTCCAGTTACCATGCTCCTTTCAGGGAATGCGAACAGCAACGTAGCCATGCACAAAACGGGTGTCCTTCAGCTTCACCGGACCATGGTCATCTTGCTCCCCTACAGCTTAAGGTCTAAGGGTTTAAGGGTTTAACGGTTTAGGGTTTAGGGTTTAGGGCTAATGCCGCTGGAACTTCCACGGCTGAACTCTCCCAACTGAATTTTCGGGCCTTACGCCGAAGAAGTAGATCCGAACACCTGAGGCCTAAACCCGGGCTGTTAAGTCCAGCAACCCCAGAAGTGAATCTACATCCGAGACCCTGTAATACAGGGGCCTTAATAATTAGAATAGGATTCTGGTGTATATTATACTATACTTATGATAAGGAATCCCCACAATAGCATAGGTAATTATTTAAGCCCCTATATTATAGCCAAATCTAAAGCCTGAGCCCTAATGAGACCTCGACGCTCTCCACCGCAAGCTCAAAGGTGCTACTGGCAAAAGCCCGAACCAATTCCTGCCTTCTATGACCAAACCCTAAACCCCAAACCCTGAACCCTAAACCTGCAAGGCAAACACTGCACCCTGCAGCCGGTTCTGCGACCTGTCCGTTGATCATCTTCGCTTCGAACCGGAGCACCTCTGCGGAGGGTGGAACTTCGGAAAAGGCTTACGATGTGGGCGTCTATGCCTTTTGTAGGTTCAGGCTTCAGGGTGTTTTTTCTTAAGGGCCTTTTCTGTTGGGTTTAGGGCTTAGGGCTAATATCTCAGTCGCCTGATTTCGGATCATTTCCAAACCCTGCAACGCCAAGCTTAACTCGAGACCACCCTAAATTCTGAAGGGGCCAATCCAGTAATAAAGAAGCCCGTAGCAGTCCAAAGGGACAAACCTGTCTGCCCCTAAGGCAAAGCCCCCGCCTACCCGCTCCAAAGACTCCAAACAGAATAGTTTAGGGTTTAGGGTTTAGGGTTTAGGGTTTAGGGTTTAGGGTTTAGGGTTTAGGGTTTAGGGTTTAGGGTTTAGGGTTTAGGGGTTTAGGGTTGAGGGAAGACTCTCAAAATAGGGCTCTATTGGGATCCTGAATATGGTCTATTCCTTAATCCAAGGACATGGAAACGACTGACTAAGGCCCCTATGTCGGGGTTCTATTGGGATCCTATATATATATATATTTTTTTTTTGTTTTTGGTCAATTCCTTATCATCCAAAGGAAATGGACACGACTGGGTGCGTGCGTAAACGACTGGGCCTCGCCGGTGTAAACCATCAGCTTCTCCAGGTCCACTTTCGGCGGCTGAAGGCCAGCAGGGGCTCGGGATCTTGAGGTTTGCAATTGTGTGTATAGTGGGGCGCTGATGTAGGGCATGGGGCTTTCTAGGATTGGGGTCTTGGGCCTTGCAAGTGTGTGTTTAAAGCGTGGCATTCAAGTAGGGCATGGAGTTCTCTAGAAGTTCGTCAGTAGGTGGTGCTGTCTAGACTTTGAGAGGCTCTCTTGAAACACACATGGGTCTTGTTGGCCGGCGGATGCCCGCTTCGGGGCTGAGGCTTCAGAGCTTTGGTGCTGAAAATGGAAGCTTCGGACTTAGGGTTCGGGGTTTAGCGTTCAGGGCTTTGGGTTTAGGGTTTAGGGTTCAGCAGACGTCGCCCTTCAGCACACCACAGGCACCCTCATGGAACTGCACCCTCTCATGCTTCTCACTCTTGTAGTTCCCCTCCATCTGGCCCGGAATCATCAAGATCAAGCTGCACATCACCACCAGGCAAGCGGAACTGCCACCTTGTCGTCACTCGTGCACTCGTGCTTTCTGCAGCATCCACCACCTGTTCCTGTTCCACACCACCAATGCCACATTAGGGTGTAGGGTTCAGGGGTTTAGGGATTAGGGTTTAGGGTTTAGGGTTCTTTTGGGGTTAGGGTTTGAACCTCCGGAGCTCTTGCTGCAGTCGTGTTCCAGAACGGTTTATGAAGGACCCCTGTTGAAGGAGAGTCCGAATT